TACGCTGAGGTTCCGCTGTTTCTTGAACTAGCGGTGAACAGTCAGTCAATTTATCATAAATACGGATTCTGGCCTGTGTGTTTACCAATGAACAATGTCAACAATCTTAGCTGTATGTGTTAAACCACCTCCGCAAATTTCGATCTTCACATTTCATGTCCTAGGCAATCTACTATATGCTGAGACTTGAATAATTATTTAATAGGTTTGGCAGATTTGCTTAATTAAGTTGACCCAATTGTGAAAAAAGCTCGCGGCATTCAGCGGGATTTGAACCCTCATAGTAGGGAAGGCCTTTACGCAGCCAAAGCTCTACTAGATGAGCTACAGATGCCACGCCTTGCACCGAGTTTAATCACACTTGGATCGATTTTATCCGCCCAACTGTACCGCTCGCGTGGAATCCACCAATACGGAACAGCAAGCTGACTGCCCAAGCAGCGCCTCCAACTCCCAGAAGTGTTTGATCACCCTGGGTAAATTTACCCAGGTGAATTGCAGAAAATGGAACATTGTTGGCAATATCATAAATTCACACCGTCTACCACTGAGAAGCCGACGATTTAAGCTCACACGCACGGGCATATTTGTGAGTGGTCTACCCGAACAAATGCGTTCATGCGAAAAGTCGCCACTTTGCTCTCTTTCTCCCAGTTTCCTTGCACGCGTGCGTGTGTGTAGATGAGACCCAGAACACATCAGTCAAAATGCATCACTCGACTCCAGCGTCATCCTAAATTGAAGGGGCGCACGTGTTCATAACGTGATTCAAGGCCACACTGGCTACGTCAGTGTGTGCGTCCTTGAAATGTAAGGTAGCGCATCCCACGCGACACCTTGCATCCAATGACCTCGAGGACGTTGTTTGGGTTTTTCTGTTGCTCTTATTGGTCAGTCTGACTAATTGTTGATAGCAGTAATCTGACAAATAATTGCAGCACTCTGCTGCCTGGATGCAGTTTGTAAATACAAATGCCAAAACTATATGCGAAATTTTCTGAAGTTCTTTTTCACTTCTAGCAGCTATATTTACTTAGTTCCTCGCTTTAATCTAACTCTGCTTTTTGCAAACTGTAAGAGTTGCTGTCCCTGTTCCGTCCGCCGACATTGCAGGATTGGACGGACGCGCAGGTAAAGCCATACTGAACCATAGCAACAGTCTGAAGGTTGTATAATGAAAACAAATTATGAAATTTTTGTAGGTCATGGATTAACGACTTGTCAGGCTTCCTTCCATGCCTATAGTCAATGAGGCCGCCTGGCCCACAGCGGGTTTCTCGTTAGAACCAGGAGTCTGCTTATTTCACATCCGGACTTTGGAGACCATTATAGCCTCTGACAGCTGTGGACGTGATGGATAGTCTACTATCTTAAGCAAACAGGTACACCACCATCTCACAAGGTGGGAGTAGGCATGACTCCTATGGTGGAACAGACTTTCTTAGCACCTTAGTCACTTGGTTCTTATACCCTTCGCGTTTTTGTCGACTGTGCAGCATCAAGCCGACCGAAGGTTGGCACTGGGGCCGTACTTGACGAAACTAAACCACACCTAGAACATGTGCGCCACGCACGCTGTCTCTTTC